GACCTCTGACGAATGCGTCGACGCAGAAACCTCTGACGACCTCCTTAAAGAATTTCGAGAACAGAATTGCCAACCTATCCACGAAGAGCAGACTTCTGTCGAATGAATGAAGGAAGAAAGGGGGTGGCAGTAACCCGGCGCGCACGTCTTCACCCCGCATTGTCTTCGTCCCCCGTTCTTCGAAGAGCCTTGGTGGCCAAGGGTGCGAAGCGCCAGGCCTCCTCTTCCTACCCCGTCGCGTCTCCTGTATGCCCCCAAATCCACTAACACGTCCGACGCCCGACAAGGTCCACTAACGCCCAGACAGTGTTTTGCTCGATCGCCAAACTTTGGCGAGGTGGGGGTGAAGGAGAAGAGAAGAAGGGGGAAAAGGAGGAGGAGAAGGAGGAAGAGGAGGAAGAGGAGGAAGGGGAGGAGGAGGAAAAGGAGGAGGAGGAGGACGAGGTTGTCGTCAAACGGGGGCTTGGGACTGACCCGTGCTCCATGCTTCAGGAAGTTCAAAAAGAGACAGAGGCGGGTGGCGCGGCGAATGTCTCTTATCATTTCGCCTGCTCGAAAGGAGTGGCGCCTAACCGGAGTCATCGAAAAGACGAAAATAATGATATCCAGCTGCCTCCGACACGTCCCGCCACTGTGCCTGGGTTGTGGGTATGAAGCGTATTGGATGTTCGTTGGGATCTCGTGGGGGGCCTCTCGGGGGCCTCTTGGGGGCAGTGTTGAGACTTCTTGGGGGTCGTTTTGGAGCCTTTTGGGATCTCTTTTGGGTCTCTTGGGGGCCTGTTTGGGACCTCTTGGAGGCCACTTGGGGTCTTTTTGGCGCCTCTTGGGGTCACCTTGGGGCCTCTTGGGGTGGAAGGCTCGGATTTTCGGTTTGTGTTCTATCTCTTGGGCCCCTTCTGTGGCCCTCTTGGGCCCTGTTGGGCGCTTCTTGGGTTGTTTTGGGCGCTCTTAGGCCGTCTTGGGGCCCTCTTGGAAGCCTGTTAGGCCGTTTTGTGGTGGTTTTGGGGGCTTCTTGGGCAGTCCTGGAGCGCCGGAAAACCCTAAAGGCGAGAACGCCAACGCCCTTCAACAACTTAAGGACAATCACTGATTTTTGCCTTGGGGGGCCCTCTTGGGAGGCCTCTTCGAGGTCTCTTGGGACGTCTTGGAGGCCTCTTGGGCCATCTGGAACTCCCTTTTGGGCGTCTTCGAGCGATCGTTCGGCGATTCGGGGCCCTCTTGGACCGTCTCGGGGACTTAGACGACTGACACCCTGCCAGGCGGACATGGCAGTCTTCCACGCCCTCACGTTAAGTCGGGCCTGTCCCCCCACAGGGGGATTTTCGTTGAAAAATGCAAAATACCTCCAAAAATACGCCCAAAAGGGCAAAAAATACTCAAAAAATAGACCCCCGACTATTTTTGGACTAGGTTTTGATTATTTCTTGGGTATTTCTAATTTTTCGTCGAAAATTCCCCCGTAGGGGGACACGCCCGACAGAAGCCTAACGTGCCGCCTGGCACGGTGGCAGACCGTTCAGATGCGAGGGAGGCTCGCATACCGACGGGCTGGCGCCAGCCCAGGCGAGAGGGGATGCAAGAGGAAGGGCAGGAGCTTGGCTGCCTCGATACGCCCGTTTTGATACGCAATACGTCCCGTGTTCAAGACGTCCGTGCCAATGCGTTGCGTGTTGGCTCCACGTATTGGGCCACGTTTTGGCGAGTGTATCGCGTCGGACCTACGTTTTCAGCCTACGTGTTGAGCTCCGTATCGATACGCTACGTGTTGCGTGTTGCGCATCGGGGCGACTTAGGG